GTAGCTGGGACTACAGGCACGTGCCACTGTGCCCAGCTAATTTTTTCTATTTTTAGTTGTTTGCCTAATTTCTTTCTATTTATAGTAGAGACGGGGTCTCGCTCTTGCTCAGGCTGGCCTCGAACTCCTGAGCTCAAGCAATCCTCCTGCCTTGGCCTTCCACAGTGCTAGGATTATAGGCGTCAGCCACCATGCCCGGCCTGTTTCTGGTTTTTTTGAGACAGGGTCTCACTCCGTTGCCCAGGCTGGAGTACAGTGGCATCATCATAGCTCACTGTAACCTCAAACTCGTGGGCTCAAGTGATCCTCCTGCCTCAGCCTCCCAAGTAGCTGGGACTACAAGCATGTACTGCCACATCCAGATAATTTCTTTTTAATTTTTTGTACAGATAGGATCTCACTGTATTGCTCAGGCTGCTCTTAAATTCCTGGCCTCAAGCAATCCTCCTGCCTTGGCCTCCCAAAGTGCTAGGGTTATAGGCATGAGCCACCTCACCCAGCCTGTATAAATCTTTATCACAGATCTTAATTCTCAATATGGGATCTTAAGATGTTCAGAGTTTATACTATAATGGGCCAAAGATGGAATAATCAGAGTTCAGTTTGATCAAAACTCACCGTGTCTTAGTCACGTAGGTTGACAGCAGCCTATAGCACCAAAAAGATTTTCTCCTGCAAGCTATTCCACAATACAGGGACATTGTCAGGTCCTTAGAGAAAAGAGGAGTTTAAAAAAAGTCATAGTATGCAATTTAAAGTAATGAATTGCCAAGAGGGTTATATTTTAAGCCAGGATATGATCACTTGGTACTATTAAGGAAAGAGAACTAAACAGGAGTCAGGTGATCTAGCTTCTAAATTGCATTTCTACCACTAACTATGAGATCTCAACTTTTCAGTACTTCCTTTCTAATCTACAAATTGAAACTTGTTCTACCTACCTAGAATAAAAATGAAGTACAAGGAATCCTGTAGATAAGAAAAATATAAAATCACAGCCATTAGGAAAATATTTCAAAAGGCAGCTATGCAAATTCACATGGGTCCAGACATTTGCTATTTTTTGTAGCTCATTAAGTGAGAAAAAATTCTGTATCTAAAGATCCATTCTGCAGAAGATAGTCCCTTTTAAATGGTATATCGGTAAATATTTTCTTCGTCATGAAAAGTACCTTTCACATTAGCAGTAATACATTCAAGAAATTCCAGGCCCGGCGCGGTGGCTCACGCCTGTAATCCTAGCACTCTGGGAGGCCG